GGTGGCAGTCTCTGCCCCTTCTGCCTGTGCCGCGTGCCCCTGTGTGGGCCCGTTGCGAGGCCAATCTAGGATTAAGTCGGGCACGTCTCTCTACAGGAGGAATATACCATTGCTCGACGCGAATATCCCCATATGTGCATCTTATAGTGATGGCATGCTTTGGTTGAAGACATTGTCCTGTTCAATATATGAGTGTCAGCGAAGCCATGTGGAAGACCAAGCCGAGAGAGACGCCGACGACTACGACTTTAACTAGGCGTTTCCTCATTCTTTCCTCCTCCTCCTTGTCCTCCTCCTGTTTTCCCTTCTCTTCTTCCGAATATCTGTCAGGATAATCCATCCGTGACGAGAATGCCAAGGAAACTTGAACTATGTATGCCAAGGAAATTTGAACAATGTAAGAGCATTGGAAGACCTAGAGCAGCGAAGCTCGAGTCAGGAGCCTCGAACCTCGATCCTCTGGCTTCGGCCAACCGAGTTGCCCGTTCTGCGGCGTGAGCATTTTTACTATTTCCACATCCGTCCTCCTCTTCCTCCTATTCCTCCCTCTTCCTCTACCTTCTCCTCCTAGTCCTGCTCCTTTCTCTTCGCCATCCCTTCCCAGTTACCACTTCCCCTTCACCACCTCCTACTCCAGCTCCACCTCCTCCACCTCCTCTCGCGATCTGAGCCCTGCGGGATGCTCGTTCCAGCGCTCCGCCTCTTACGACTTGCTTTGGGTGCAGACGAGTCTGCCTACCGAAGCAGGCCAATCGGTTAAGACATCCTCGCAGTCTGGGACCCATGGGGCGCTGGCACTAGCGCCTCGCCTGAATCATCCTCAGCGTAGGCTCAAGTCGCAAACGAAGTTGGGTACGAATTTAGCAAACCGCGTGACATTGCCTCGGAATCTGGGGTCCTCGCGGCGCTGACACCAGCACCTCGCCTGAAACATCCTGCTGTCTGTTCCCTGTTTTTCTCAGCGGTCAAGTCCATGTATCTTCCGCCCACAGACGGGCAAGATCCGCCTGGGCGTGCCACCGATCGAGACCGTCCGCACTTTGCATCGGGCCGATGAGACAGGCGATCATGTACATGGCCAAACAGGCAAACCGCCTGAGGCACCCCCCCAATCTGGGCGCGAACGGGCCCGTGAGATATCCCCTGGCGCTCCCTCTTGGGAGTGCTGAAGCCAGCGCCTCGCCCGAGACATCTTCGGAAACTGCTCCGAAAGAACAGGATGCTGAGCATCCAAACGGGCAGATCGCCTGAGACATCCCCCCAATCTGGGCGCGATCAGGCCCGTGATCTACCCCCTGGCGATCCCCCTTTGGAAGTGCTGAAACCCGCCTGAGACATCCTCGGAAACTGCTCCGAAAGAGAAGGGTGTTGAGCACCCAAGCAGGCAAACCGTCTGAGACATCCCCCCAATTTGGGCGCGAACGAGCCCGCCCCCTGGCGCCCCCCTTTGGAAGTGCCGAAACCAGCGCCTCGCCTGAGACATCTTCGGAAACTGCTCCGAAGGAGAAGGATGTTGAGCACCCAACACGCAAACCGTCCGAGACATCCCCCCAATCTGGGCGCGATCGGGCCCGTGATATACCCTCTGGCGCCCCCCTAGGAAGTGCTGTGACCAGCGCCTCGCGTGCTCCGAAAGAGAAAGAGGTTGAACACCCAAACAGGCAAACCGCCTGAGACATCCCCCCAATCTGGGCGCGAATGGGCCCGTGATGTACCCCCTTGGCACCCCCCCTTTGGAAGTGATGTAACCAGCGCCTCGCCTGAAACATCTTCGGAAACTGCTCCGAAGGAGAAGGATGTTGAGCACCCAACACGCAAACCGTCCGAGACATCCCCCCAATCTGGGCGCGAACGTGCCTGTGATATACCCCCTGGCGCCCGCCTTTGGGAGTGCTGAAACCAGCGCCTCTCTTGAAACATACTCAAAACGTGTGTGTGTGTGTGTGTGTGTGTGTGTGTGTGTGTGTGTGTGTGTGTGTGAGTCTGAGCGCGGAAGTACCAGGAATGTGAGTGAGCTTGCATATGAGTGATCTCGAATATGAGAAACCTGAGTACCAGGAATCTGAGTACAAATGCGTCGGAGTATGAGTGAGTCTGAATCCGAGTGAGTCTAGACGTGAGTGAATCAGAGAATGATGACCTGAGGGTGGGAGGTGTTCTCTCGTTCTCCGCGCGGTTGCAAATATTTGTTGGATCTATCGCCCCAAATCCTCTTGTAGGGGGACATGCCCGACCTAACTCTAGGATCTCAGAATCCAAGGGTGCTCGGGGTTCGGTCGGTTCGGTTGCGTCGCAGTCGGTTGCGTTCGGTCGGTTCTGCTTGGTCGGTTACTGTGTCGCTGCCGCGTCGCTGCTTCCCTCCAGGCTGCTTTCGGCCTGTCGATCCAGGTCGGTTTCGATCGGTCTCGGTTTCGCTGTCGGTTCGGTCGGCTTTCGGTTTTGCCGTCACCGTGCACGGCCTCTTCAATACTTTTGGAGAAGCCACGCGCCCGCCCCGCAGGCCGGCTTCTGGTTCGCGCACTGCCGGCGGGACGGCCGCTGCGTGCTGGCCAGCCGACGACGACGACCTGCCCTTCCTTTTTCCCAACCATCCTGTGGTGTTGGGTCCTCGTTTTGAAGAGACGGCGCCCCGCGTTCTACTCCTTCTCCCGCCTCCTTCCTCCTCCCCCTCCTCCCGCCTCCCCCTCCTTGCCTCTGCTCTCCGCGTGTCAACAACCTCGGCACACCCTCTCACACGGTTCGTGGCCCCATAGGGAGCTCCACCGAAGGCCCCAATGCCACCGCCCGCATGCGTCACCCACACCCATTTCGGCACACCCCTTCACACGTTTCGTGGCCCCACAGGGAGCTCCACCGAAGGCCTTAATGCCACCGCCCGCATGCGTCACCCACACCCATTTTGGCACACCCTCTCACACGGTTCGTGGCCCCCTAGGGAGCTCTACCGAAGGCCACAGTGCCACCGCCCGCATTCGTCACCCATACCCATTTCGGCACACCCCTCACACGTTTCGTGGCCCCATAGGGAGCTCCACCGAAGGCGCCAGTGCCACCGCCCGCATGCGTCACCCACGCCTATTCCTGCACACACCTCACACGGTTCGTGGCCCCATAGGGAGCTCCACCGGAGGCCTCAGTGGCAGGGTTCGCATGCGGTTCCACCCTCATTTCGGCGCACCCATCACACGGTTCGTGGCCCCATAGGGAGCTCCACCGAAGGCCCCAATGCCACCGCCCGCATGCGTCACCCACACCCATTTCGGCACACCCCTTCACACGTTTCGTGGCCCCACAGGGAGCTCCACCGAAGGCCCCAATGCCACCGCCCGCATGCGTCACCCACACCCATTTTGGCACACCCTCTCACACGGTTCGTGGCCCCATAGGGAGCTCCACCGACGGCCCCAGTGGCTGCGTTCGCATGCGCCCACCGCACACCGCACCTATTTCGGCACACCTCTCACGCGTTTCGTGGCCCATAGGGAGCTCCTCCGAATGCGGTGCATACAACGACGGTGCTCACGACTGCATATGTTTGGGTCCCTCGCCAGGCTAATTTCTGGTGCGCCCCTGTACGGCTGGCGTCGCGAAGATAACCTGCGATGTGTCGCCGCCGGCCCGCTCATTACACGCTATCCCCAACCTTGGCGATAGCGTGCACCTGGGAAGCCCTCGCAGGGGGGCAGCTTGCACCGACGAGGCCCTTGCAGCGGGATGCCGTGCCCAGAAGGAGCCCTCGCGGAGAGATCGCCTCATAGGGATAGCGTGCTTTTCGGAGAGCGATGCTGCACGCTGTCTTTGCGACGCCGACCGCAGTATCGCCACGCCGCGGTGTCGCGGCTGCGACCTCAGCGCGGGCGTTGAGGTTGAGCGCCGCCGGTGGCCTGGAGTCGGTGGATGTCGAGCGATCTGCTCCGTTGCAACGGGCCGATAGGTCAAGGGTGCACAGTTCAGACGTGGTCAGATGCCAAGGCCGACGTGGTCACGACATGAACCTGTCGTATCCATTTCATTTTGGAACCATTTTGGCCTCTTGGGGGCATCTCTGGGAGGCTCCGTGGCCACCTGGAGCCGTCCTGGAGCGGTCTTGGGGCCTCTTCGAGGCATCTTGGATGTCATCTGGAGCCATCTTGGGATGTCTTGTGCGATCTTGGCGGTCATCGTGGACTTTCTGACGCCATCTTGGGGGTACCTTGGACCATTTGGATGCTCCATCCCCTCGCGGGGCGCACCGTCCAGTCCCAGGGTAGGGGGACGGCCGTCTCGCTCACTCCCACCCGCATTCTCACCACATCTACATTCGAGACTGATTAGGAGGTTGACCCTGCCAAATTAAGGCTACGCTTGTGTCTCGAGTCTCGCGACCCATGTCTTCTACATCCCTATGCCAATGTGGCCCTTGGAAGGGTCTTGTGTCCTCTCGCGTGTCCTCCCCAATCAACCCCGACTGTAGCACCCGAGTCTCAGCATGGGCAGGAGCCGCCATCGACAAGCATGGATAGCCGATGCAGACGCCAGCCAGGCGCGCGACGCCCGCGAGGCGCGCCGCGCGTGCGAGGGCACCCCCTATCAGCTCCGTTAGATCACTATGCAATGGGCGCCCGCGCAGGATCAAGATTTTTCAGCAAATGCCATTCTGTATTGTTCGACAAGGGTTATTATGGGTCTTTGCGCAGCACGTGATATGGCATCACCCCGGTTGTCTTTGGTAGAAAATTAGCCTGACGAAAGACCCAACCATATGCAGCTGCGAATACCGCATTGTGGGTACCGTTTTCGTTGGAGCTCCTTATTGGGCCACGAACCGTGTGAGGGGCGTGCCGAATTGGGGGTGGTGGTGCCGTGCGAGCCCTCCCACTGGAGCCTTCGGTGGAGCATCCTCTGGGGCCACGAGACGTGCGAGGGGGTGTACCGAATTGGGGCGGTGGTGCCATGCGAACCCTCCCACTGGAGCCTTCGGCGGAACTCCGCATGGGGCCACGAACAGTGTGAGGGGTGTGCCGGATTGGGCGCGGTGGTGGCGCCATGCGAACCCTCCCACTGGAGCCTTCAGTGGAGCTCCCCATGGGGCCACGAACCGTGTGAGGGGTGTACCGAATTGGGTGCAGTGGTGCCATGCGAACCCTCCCAATGGAGCCTTCGGTGGAGCTCCCTATGGGGCCCCTATGGGGCCACGAACCGTGTGAGGGGTGCGCCGAACTGATGGTGGAACTGCATGCGAACCCTGCCACTGGGGCCTTCGGTGGAGCTCCCTATGGGGCCACGAATCGTGTGAGGGGTGTGCCGAAATGAGGGTGGACTTGCATGCGAACCCTGTTTCGGTGGAGCTCTCTATGGGGCCACGAACCGTGTGAGGGGCGCGCCGAAATGAGGGTGGAACCGCATGCGAACCCTTCCACTGAGGCCTTCGGGTGAGCTCCCCATGAGGCCACGAACCGTGTGAGGGGTGCGCCGAAATGAGCGTGGAACTGCATGCGAACCCTGCCACTGAGGTCTTCGGTGGAGCCCTCCATGGGGCCACGAACCGTGTGAGGGGTGCGCCGAGATGAGGGTGGAACTGCATGTGAACCCTGCCACTGAGGCCTTCGGTGGAGCTTCCTATGGGGCCACGAGCCGTGTGAGAGGGGCACCGAAATGGGGGCGTAACTGCATGCGAACGCTGCCGCTGTGACCTTCGGTTCCCTATGGGGCCACGAATTACGCTGCCACTGGGGCCTTCGATTGAGCTCCCTATGGCGCTACGAGCCGTGTGACGGGTGCGCCGAAATGAGGGTGGAACTGCACACGAACCCTGCCACTGAGGCCTTCGGTGGAGCTCCCTACGAGGCCACGAACCGTGTGAGAGGGGTACCGAATTGGCGGCGGAACTGCATGCGAACCCTGCCATTGGATCCTTCGGTGGAGCTCCTATGGGGCCACGGTCCGTGTGAGGGGTGCGCCGCGATGAGGGTGGAACTGCATGCGAACACTGCAACTGGGGCCTTCGATGGAGCTCCCTATGGGGCCACGGTCCGTGTGAGGGGTGCGCCGAAATGAAGGTGGAACTGCATGCGAACCCTGCCAACGTGGCATTCGGTGGAGCTCCCTATGGGGCCACGAATCGTGTGAGGGGTGCGCCGAAATGAGGGTGGAACTGCATGCGAACCCTGCCACTGAGGCCTTCGGTGGAGCCCTCCATGGGGCCACGAATCGTGTGAGGGGTGCGCCGAGATGAGGGTGGAACTGCATGCGAACCCTGCCACCGAGGCCTTCGGTGGAGCTCCCTATGGGGCCACGAAACGCGTGAGGGGTGCGCCGAAATGGGTACGGTGGCGCCATGCGAACCCTGCCGCTGGGGCCTTCGATGGAGCTCCCTATGTGGCCACGAACCGTGTGAGGGGTGTGCCGAAATGGGTGCGGTGGCGCCATGGGAACCCTGCCACTGGTGCATTCGGAGGAGCTCCCTACGGGGCCACGAGACTTGTGAGGGGTATGCTGAAACGAATGATGACGATGATGATGATGAGAGGAGGAGGGAGGGGGGGCAGCGGGAAGAGTGACGCGGGGCGCTGTCTCTTCAACATGAGGACCCAACCCCAGTCGTCCCTGGCGTGATGCTTTCACATTTTGCAGCAAACTGCTGTTTGTAATATTCTTTGACACGGATTGTGGGGAGTCTCGTCATGGTTTCAGTTTTGTCGCTGACCAGGTGGGGAAGGAGGTGTACACTAAGACGGAGCAGTGATGAGCCCCTCCCCGAAGGGAAAGACAGGGGTTGGAAGGGGAAGCGCGGTAAACCAACCACCTCCGCCCTAAAGGGCTGGCGGGACCTTCCAGCCGCCCTGGACTGCTGGTGTCCGCGATGGCGGGAAAAACGGTATCTGAAAGAGCGCCTTTTGAGCGCGCCGGAGGGAGCTCCCGCGGGGCAGGGGTGCGTTTTCTTGGGGGGGGGGTCGGTCAGGAGAGGGAGGGGGGGGGATTTGGCCACCAGTGCAGCGTGCCACCAGAGGTCGCCTGTGTTCTTTGACCTTCTAGACCGCGTCCCTGGCATCCTCCGATGAGATTTGTCAATCCGCGGCCTCAGAGGGCCCGACCGCTTCCGCAGAGGTCACGGCCCCTTACCCAGAGGGCCAGCTTGTCGCCCCAGATCTCTGAGGTTGATAGACCTCCTGCCCTGACACGTCGATTCGCGAGAGGGCGTCGCGGCCCTCATTTTTGCGGGTCCAGGTCCGTCGGTTTCGGTCCTAGGCCGTTTACACTAAAGGGTGGTTTACGACAGGGAGGTTTGTCCACCACCGGCTCAAGTCATCCTCGCACTGTCTCAGGGAAGGGTTCCGTGTCGTATGCGTCTTGCCGTTGCAAGGTATGTTCACGCTTGAGACAGCTTGTTGACCACCATATTGTTTGGGTCAGATCAAGCGCATATAATGTACATATATATATATATATATGTTGCTTATCTGAATGCTCTGCTGAAAGAAGATCGGCCACGCGAAGAAGGGGATAGGGGGAGAGCGGAAGGCTTCTTAGAAGCACCTTGCTTCTTAGAAGGCGCGGGCCTTGTCTGTAGATGCAGGGCTGGCGCCTTTTAAGAAGCAGTCTCCGTCTAAGAAACCTTCTTCCCTCCCCCTTCCCACTTGTGCGCGCCGCCAAAAGATCGGAGGCGACGATAAGGGCGAATATCCCAGGGGAGAGCAATACGTGTATCCAAGGGCGCCGATGGTCCATGCCTTCGGCGAGGCTCCTGGGTGAATACGTGTAATTCCCGTCCCTGACTTATTCGCCCCTTTCGTTCGACGGCGATTGAGGGGGGGAAGTGAGAAGGAGAAGGCCATCACAGAAGGCGCCAGGACTTCTTAAAAGCCCTCGCGCCTTCTGAGAGGTTTTTATGTCTTCGGGGAAGGCTGAGAAAACTTCTTAGAAGGACAAAGGGGACTTCGGATCCTTTGAGAAGGCCTTTCCTTCTCACTTCACCCCCTCGCTCGCCGCCGACTCGCGGCCTCCGAGAAGAAGAGCCAAACGCTCGGCAGGCCGGCATCGTCCTGTTCATCGTGTCCCTCACGGGGTGCTCGGTGTTCGCCTGGAGCTGCCAGGAGCCCCCCCGCGCCGGGCGCGGCGGCTGGGCAGGCCCGCGGAAGTTCGGGACCTCGCCCGTCGTCGCCGCCGCCGTCGTCGTCGTCGCCGCCGCCGCCGTCGTCGCGTCGTCGTCGTCGCCGCCGTCGTCGTGGTCGTCGTCGTCGTCGTTGTTGTCGTCGCCGTCGCCGTCGTCGTCGTCGTCGTCGCCGTCGTCGTCGTCGTCGTCGCCGTCGTCGTTGTCGTCGTCTTCGTCGTCGTCGTCGTTGTCGTCGTCGTTGTCGTCGTCGTCGTCGTCGTCGTCGTCGTCGTCGTTGCCGTCATCTTCGCCGTCGTCTTTCCCGTCGTCTTCGCCGTGCGAACGCGTCTTCATCCGTGGTCGTGTCTGGGAAGCACCAAGTTCCTGTCTTTGGCATCTGATTGCCTTCGGCTCGTTCCGCCACCGCTTGTGTGGCAGAGTCCTCAGGGATGTTTCTTGGGATCTCTTCAGAGTGCGCTCGGGGGCCTCTTGGGGGCAGTTTTGCGGCCTCTCGGGAGCCTCTTGGGGGCCTCTTGGGAACTTATCGGTGGCCTCTTGGAGCTTCTTGGGGGCCTCTTGGGAGCCTCCTGGGGCCTCTTGGGGGCCTCTTGGGGGCCTCTTGGTGCCTCCTGGGGCCGTCTCGAAGCCGAGGGCTCGAAATGTACGTTCGGGTCCCCCATCTGGGCCCCGTCTTGGAGCCGTCTTGGGGACCTTTACGGCTGTCTTGGAGGCATCTTGGGCTGTCTTGGTGCCCTCTTGGGCGATTTCGGGGCCTTCTTGGAGGCCTCTTTGGCCGGGCTTGCCTCTTGGGAGGCCTCTTGGAGGCCTCTTGAGGCGTCTTCGGGGCATCTTGGCCGTCTTGAGGCCAAATTTGGAGCGATCTTTCGGCGACTCGGGGCCCTCTTGAACAGTCTTGGGGGCCTCTTGGGGCCTTCTTGGCCCGTCTTAGGGCCCGAACAGGTACTAGACTTGAGAATTTTAGGTCTAGGCCCCTTAAGAATCCTTAAGCTTGAGGTCCTCATGTAAGACTCCTTAATCCTGTGGTCCTTTTGTAATCCCGAGGGCTGAGGACCACAAGGGACCCGAGGACACGCCCTGTCCGTGCAGGGGCACAATGGCTGATGCATGGGCTTCAAGGTCGGAGCTGCCTGCTCATGTAAGCACGATCAGTTTCCAGTCCTGATTTTCTGGTTGGGCTAAGCTGCACGCCGGTCGCTTAAATGAGGTATTTCGTGATTCCCAGATCCCAATCTACTTCAATCGCCTCCCTACTTCAAGAATCGACATGCTTTTGCTGTGTTTTGTTCTTCTCTGGGAGGGCCTGGACCCAATCCACTTTATCCGCCTTGCTACTTCATGTTTTCACATACTTCTTCCGACCGACGTATACTGAGGTGCTGAGTGGCGCCGTCCAGTCTCGATGTGCAATTTGGATGCTATGGGGAAGCTTTCGGTGAGATCTATGCTTCAGTTGAATGCTCTATGTCTCCTGGGGACGGGAATACGGTGGCGAGGAAGCGCAGGTCTTGTGCGAGTCTGCGTAATGGAACCTCTTGAGGCTCAAGGCTGCGCGACCGAGTCGAAGAACCGCTCGAGCTCGTTCGGGCTGCTACCCACTGAAATTCCAAGCTTACTTTCAAGTGTGTTTGAATAACAGGTGTTCCAATCAGGTCGGAGCGCTAGTTCATTCAATATAGGGCGCGGGCTCGACTGCTTACATGGGCGAGTACAGGCTTTGCAATCTTCAACGGAATTAGTGGGTATCTGCGTTTCAATGTCCCCTGTCCTTTCCGTCTCTCCGTTAGTGGCCATCCGAGGTGTCGAGCTCGGGTCAGAAACAGAAGGGGGTGCCAACATTCTATTCTGTTTTCCGTATATAGTCTAACGCAGGTGCATGCCCACCTCCGCATGCTTGACACGATGCCTGCGGCATTGTGCTCATTTACCCATCTCCCAACGCCTAGCATCTCTTGTGCAGGCTGCCCTACTCCCTCCCTCCCCCTCCCTCCTTCGCATTCCTTTCCCTCCCGCTTCCCTCTTCCCTGCTTTCTCCTCCCTCCCTTTCCTCTCCATCGTGCCTCTTTCTACTCACACCTCCCTCCTTCCTTCGTCCCTCCTCTTCCCTCACTTCCTCCCTTCTCTTTCGTCCTCGTCATCGTCGTCCTGTCCTTGCCATCGTCGCTTCTCATCCTTCTCGTCGTCATCCCGTGCTCCTCGCTCGTCGTTGCAGTCTAGTCTTCTCTTCGTTCCTACCGAGGAGTGGATCACCGACCCCACGCGAAACCCCTACGCGCGAAGGATTTCGGGAATGGGTTGAAACCTGAAGCAATGACATCAGAAGGAACACGGTGATGATGATGATGAGGATGAGGAGGAGGATGGTGTTGTTGTTGATGATGATGGTGAGAACACGGGCGAGAACGAGGTTGATGATAGGCATGATAGCGATGATGAGGGATATTACTACGACGGTGCAGGTGTTGCAACGGGAGGATGAATATGAGGATGACAAGGGGTAGGACGTGGCAGAAGGCGAGCACCAACCAAGACGCGCATAGTTTTGAGTTTGTCAGATCCGGCATGTGTTAACGATAAGAGTGCTGGCCAGAGTGGTAGCGAGCGATGCGCTACGGTTATGATATTAATCACGGCATTCGAAATTGCGATGGCGACAACATGAATGCGGCGTCAGTGTCGACAACACAGCGCGACAAGACAATTGACACATGCAAAACGAGCGCCACATACAGCTGCCTGCGGCAAGTCTCGCCACCGTGCCAGCCCCCAAGGATAGCCCAGGACTGTCGCGAATACAAAGCTTCAAGGCGACTTCAGACGCCAAGACGTGCGTTTCCAAGCCAAGGTCCCGATCATCTGGACACGGCCTCTCTGACGCGCTATACGCTTGGCCCAAGAGCAAGTTTTATTGGAGCGCGCGCGAGGCGCGCGCCTAGTATATGTATGTATGTATGTGTACATATATATATATATATATGTATATATATATATGTATATGCATATGTCTATTTACACATGTATTTATGCATGTATGTATGTATGTAGGTAGGTAGGTAGATCGGTAGGTCGGTAGGTGGGGCAGTCATGTCTTAATGTAAGCATTTATGCATGCATGGTGGAACGCATGTATTTATGTATGCAGGTGTGTGCACGTATGCATTCGTGTTTAGGTATGCCTGTCTGCCTGTCTGTCTGTCCGTCTGCCTGTCTGTCTGTTTGTATGTATGTATGTATGTATGTACGTATATCTGTATGTATGTATGTATACCTGTCTGTCTTTCTGTCCATATGCATGTTTGGTTGTTTGTTCGTTTGAATGCCGTAGGTATGTAAGTATGCATGCATGCATGCAATCACGTATGCATGCAGGTATGTATGCATGCATGCATGTATGCATGAATGCAGTTATGTATGTACGTGTGAATATACATGCGTGTCTGCTCATATATACACGCACATACACATGCCGTGTGTATACATATACGTATATATATATAGTTGTGCATGTGCGTATGCATGAATGTGTGTATGTATGCTCGCAAGTGTATATGCCTATGCTTATAATCATAATCACAGGTGTATACGTACACAAGTATCAATAATGTGTATCTATTTATGGGACGGGAGAGAGAGCGAGAGAGAGAAAAAACAGAGCGAGAGAGAGAAAAAAGAGAGTGATAGAAGTAGTATCATAGACGTACATCGTGCAGCATAATGCGATAAGGAATGCGACTGAGCGCATCTTGGGAGACAGTGGCAGACGGCGACAGCTCAGGTTTTCCTTCGAGGTTGTGGTGGACGCGGCGACCTGGATCCCGATCTCTGTAGTCGTGGGGAAGACGAACGCGATGGTGGAGTGGTTCATGGACATAGCCAAGGAGCGAGCGACAGGGGAGAGGAAAGCAGGGAAGGAGGGGGTGGCGAGGAAGGAGAAGACATGAGGGGACGGAACATGGCTTGGGACTGGGAAGGGGGAGAGAGAGAAAGGGAGGCAGGGGGAGGAGGGGGGAGAGGGATGGGGGAACGAGAGAAAAAGATTAGGGGTGGGCGACGAGGTGGAATGATGGGCGAGACGTGGGGTGCACAGTGGAGTGGACAGAGAGAGAGAGGAGGTGAGGGAGAGATAATGTGGGGAACGGGAGATGGGGGAGGAGACGGACGCCAGGGAGTGTGGGTGGGAGGCAAGTTGAAGCTCTTCGTGAGAGAGGTGTCCTGGATGGGCCTGGCCGTGGTTGAAGCCAAGCGTCACATTCGGTGGCGAGAGGGAGGATAAGGAGGAGGATAATCCCAAGACTCATCAACGATGTTGGAATTCACCCCCTACGAGGATTCATTCCCAACCCTCCTGCGTTGGGTTCTCGTTTTGAATAGAGCACTGCTCGCGTGAACCTTCCTTCCTTCCTTCCCGTCCCTCTCTTCCCCCCTGCCTTTGACCTCGCCATCCCTGGGGGGCTGCGATCTGTGAAACTGTCGCCACTTTCGAGGGCTGCTGGGGGGCACAGCACTGAAACTGTCGCCACTTTCGAGGGCTGCTGAGGGGCACAGCACAGTGGGTACCCACCGCAGACTCAAATTAGACCTCGCCATCCCTGGGGGGCTGCGATCTGTGAAACTGTCGCCACTTTCGAGGGCTGCTGGGGGGCCCAGCACAGTGACGCCCACGCAGACTCAATTAGACCTCGCCATCCCTGGGGGGCTGCGATCTGTGAAACTGTCGCCACTTTCGAGGCCTGCTGGGGGGCCCAGCACAGTGGGTACCCACCGCAGATTCAAATTAGACCTCGCCATCCCTGGGGGGCTGCGATCTGTGAAACTGTCGCCACTTTCGAGGGCTGCTGGGGGGCCCAGCACAGTGGGTACCCACCGCAGACTCAAATTAGACGCCGCTTTCGTCCTTGTTCTCCTCCTGCAGTCACCTTCCCTCTGCTGCTGCCGTGCTGATGGTTCGGCTTCCCGCACGTTTTTCTCCTGCTCTGCGTTCCCGACTCCCCATGTCCTCTTCGAGCCTGTAGCTGTCGCCCTTCGTCCTTGTATGGTTCTCTTGCGCATCATGCCATAGGCGCGTGTCCCAAGTAGCTTACACATCAAGTTGATTGTCCATGCAAGTTTCGGCCAACTCCTCGTTTCCATTGATACAAATGGGTTGGGTACATCACAGGCTAATTTTCAATGAGGGAAGTGCCCCGTTGGGGGAGAAATCGTGTAGAAATCTTCAAGCGTGTCAACATACCATTCTGAGGATTTCAACGTCACTAGTCAACCTGACTGCTGCGTCTTGGCGATCCCGAATCGTGCCAGAATACCGTTCCTGGGACTCCAACACCGCGAATAATCGTAACTTTTGCGCCCTGGCAATCCTGAGTCGTTCCGAAACACCGTTCCTGCTACGTCAACCATGAGAATCCGCGAAACTCTGGTGTTGTGTAAAACGAAAGCGCGTGGAACTACGCCGAGAGCCACATTCTGAAAAGGAACCGCTCTCAATCCGTGACATACTTACACTTGTTTGAAAACAAATGCGCGCGGCGCTCAGGCGAGAGCCACATTTTGAAAACCACGTGTATTCATTCCGTGAAACTTTTGCAATTCTTGTGAAACGGATGTGCGCGGCGCTAAGGCGAGAGCCATTTGTGGACAACTACAGGTGAAACGCCCGGCCCGCCCTTCCGACCGTCCTCGGGGAATGGATAACTATGGGTATAGCAACTGGCGGTGGCTGCATCTCTGACTCGTGTTCTTCTTTCTCCTGCTCCCTTTTCCCTTTGGTTCCTTGGCACTGTTTTCTCTTGCCACTTCGATCTGCTGCCGTGCCGTCGTGAGTTGTTTTTGCAGCGCCTGTTTTCCTACGCCTCTTGTCGCAGTCGCCGCTCGCCCTATCGCGTGGCCCTTGTGGGATGAGCTAGAAGCCTTTGCCCGATGCTGCAGCGGGGAACGGGAGGGAGGGTGCGGAGGAGGAGTGAGGCGAGGATGTGGAGCAGAGAGTAGAAGGGAGGTTCGTACCATGCGAGCGAGGTGGAAGTTGTGCCTGGAATGCCTCGCGATTGCTCATGCAGCTTTTAGGACTCGTTCAGCTCGCCGTGCAGGGGGTTGTGCGGACAAGGAGACACTACGTCAAGGGCCCCTGTTTCTCGTCTGCATCGCCTGGTGCCCTCGGTTGATGATAGTTGCAGCAATGATCATGAATCATGACGATGCTGACGACGACGATGATGATGATGAGGTTGATGTTGATGATGATGATGACGATTCTGATAATGATGGTGTTGATGATGCTTATGAAGATGATGCTGATGGATGATGGGTGATGGTGATGACGCTGATGACGATGATGATGTGCGTGATGATGCTGATTATGATGATGGTGGCCGTGACGATGATGGTGATAGTGATGGTGATGATGATAATGCTGTTGCTGATGATGGTGATGATGATGATTCTGAGTATGATGACGATGATAATCATGATGATGATGCTGATGATGCTGATGATGATGACGATGATGGTGATGATGCTGCTTCCGATGATGAGTCTGCTAATTTTTTATGATGATACTAGTGGTGGTGGTGATGATGGTGCAGGTGATGATGATGGGGACGGGGAGTTGGGGAGAGTGTAGCGGAGGACTGCCCGAGCAGGACTGTGTCTCACCATGGGGGTATGCAGCTCTCGGTTTCCTGAGACAGGCGCCCCCCCTGGTGGAAACTTTGTTCTATATCTTCTTGCTTCTGTGTCCTTCGATTGTCCTCGACCTGGGCGCAATCGATGCACCGTGCACCACGCGCTCGTTCTGACCCTGCCAAGGTTCATTTCGACCCCAACGATCCAATTCGATATCGAGTCCGGCCAGCCCGATTTGATTCGACTTCGATATTCCCACGATTTGATGCGGCCTGATGCTTGCGTGGTGCTGTTGTTGCCGCTTCCAGTCCGATTCAATTCCGACTCCGCGCCGACGCAGCCCGACCCGACGCGCATTCCGATTCGGTCCGATTGCCTTCTTGGATGCTGTCTATTCGTGCCCTGCTGATGCTGTACCTACTTCCTCCTCCACCTCTTCTTCCTCCTCTTCCTCCTCCTGCACCTTCTTCCTCCTCCACCTTCTCCTCCTGCTCTTCCTACTCTTCCACCACCTTCGGTCAAGGACAACCACCGGGCCGCACCCGTGCTGTCCTCATCCGTGGCCGTGCTGCTCACGCTGTCTTGCGCCCTCCTGACGCACTTGATCATGAAGCACTGCAACGACGTGCAGTCGAGCGCCCAGGATGCGCCATCTGCGCTGCCTTCGCCGCGCCCTCTCCCCTGCTCCCGCCCCCCCATCCTTTTGCTGCTCGTTTTGGGGACCTTCCTCGGGCCCACCTAACGGATCTTTTCGACTCTAGTTCGACCCCAGCCCGACTCAAGTTCGACTCAAGTTCGACTCAGGCTCGACTCAGGTTCGACTCAAGGCCGGCTCATGGTCGGCTCAAGTCGACGGACGTTCGACGCAGCTTCGACGCACGAGTGGAGCGAGTGTCTCCGGGAAGGCCCTCGGAATGAGCATCCAGCTTCCCCCAAGCGGCCCAGGGCCAGGGCTCGGCTCTCCCGAGACGTGGGAGATCCCTTCGAGAGAAGCGCGACTCGAGTGCGCTAAGAGGCACTCCCGAGGGCCTCCTGGGGCCCCAGGACAGGGGACGCCCCCCTGCTCCTGCTCCCGCCCCCTCGGCCTTCTCTCCGCTCCGACCTCCGCCTTCCCCCCTCTCCCCCCAGACCTCCCGCGTCATGACTCCTCTCATGACGTGGGCCCCCAGAGGTCTGGATCTCACCACCCACCGAGGAGGAGGAGGAGGCGGAGGAGGCGGATGA